TGTTGAGAAGAAAAATATATATCACAAATTTAACTCTAAAATGTTTTAGCAATTTTCATTGAGCCTGAACGTACACAAATGAACTTGGATATGCACACTAATATCAAAAGAAAAATGCACAGGTACATTTACATAGCATATATTGTACATGTTTGTGTATTTGTAAATGTTAGCTCATTTGTAATGAAAGCTTAAAGGACCATAAATGCTCAAGAAATGAATATAGGAAAATATTTATAGTTTTCAAAACATACATACATATCATTGCCTTTTGCCCCTATAAATTTATAGATATAATTCTGAAAGTGTTAAAGAATTATCTATATTCTTTTATTAAATTATTTAGAAATGAATAATTTTGACATTTAGAAACATCACTCTATCCTTAGCTGAAGATTTTGGTTTTCATTTTTTACTCATACCCTCTGAAATCATTCAAGTCTCAATACTTTGCAGCATAATAATTTGGGGATGATGCATTATGGGAGCTCCCTTGGTAACTGTCTCAATTTCCATAAATACTCCCAGCAATGGAAATGAATTTGAGTACTATTTCTGAAATTTAATCATGTCACATTTAAACACTCAGGAGGGAACTGTAGATGGCTACTGTGGGCCCCATAGGCCAACAGATGAACACAGTCCTAGTTATTTTTAGATTAGTTAATGAAAATGCTAACAATTTCCACTGAATGCACTCTAGTTTAAACATCATGTTCTGCTAAAGGTACATGGCAAAGCATATCTGCTTTTATAAGAATATGTTTTCATTCCAGTCATGACCATTTATCTTTCAAGCTGTTTATGAAAATGTCTGTCTAAACACTAAAATGTATGTCATTTAAAAGCAATAAGAAAATATAAATTAGAATTTTAATTAGAAGAATTGCTGTAATACTATAATGAATACTATGGGAACAATTAAATGATTTACACATATCAATCAAAAGTAACTTTAATCAAAATGAAATGTAATCAAACTTAATTAAATCTCCTATACTAAATAAATAAAAAATAAAACCAAAAATAACTGAGATCTGCCAAAGTCAGTGAGAGGTTATATGAACCTTATCTAGAAATCTAAACTGAAATTCTTTAAATGGGATGATTATTGCCTTCACCCACCTACAAACATATTTAGTAAATAATTAGTGTAAAAATTATAGGTATATTTTTGCCAAGTATTATGACATTTGTTATTAACATTTGATATAACTATGTTATTGAAAATGTTTAATAAGTGATTTACATAATATTGTTACTACATAATTGGGCATCATGTTATGATAGATAGAGTTAGATATAAATTTAATTATTGTAAAGTGAAATGCTTACTAGCTATAGTAATTTTTTAAAAAAGTGACTTATATGATCCAAAGAGAAACAAGAATATATTCTACTAATTAAAGACATATGATATAGTAAAGAATTTACATAGATTTTTATATATTTATTAAAGTAGTATCTCAATATAAATGTCTTGCATTCTCATATCTGTTGATTAATTAATTGATATGGATGAGAAATAAATAAATGATCTAATATCAATTATCAAGATGCCTGCATGTCAAAATGGCATAACAAGAGAAAGAGGGACCCTATTTAGTTCTTTCATTACAAATCCATCTGCACACCCTCACTGCAAAACAGAGTTATAAAAGCTTTTATCAAGGCAAAGAGAAGCTAGTCAACTTGCAATATCATTTAGTGAGTACCAACTAATATATCATATTACATTTTATTATCCTGGAAAATAAAGCTTTATAATACTGCTGAAACACAGGAAGTTGGGCAAAAAATAACCTGATAGAAGCTGAAGACACTGAGAAATTAGATATCATCCCTACACCTGAAGATCTCAGAGTGCTACATTCATTCATTCATTCATTCATTCATTTAGCAAATATTTATTGACCACTTACTATTTTCCAGTTCTATTTAGGCAGTTGTGATTAGAACAACAAAATCTCTCCCTTGTGGAGTATATACTTCATTGGATAATTGGTCAATAAACAATATTTAAAAGTAAAAATCTATGTTTGTGATTAATGTCAACGAGAAAAACTATAGCAGAGCAGAGGGTGAGTGTGTGTTCAGAAGCATTGTGGCAGGGGGTGGGTAGGTCAGGGAAAGCCACCCTGGGGAGATGTTTCTATGCAAGAACCTGAAGGAAGTGAAGGGTGTTTGTAACAAACACAACAGGAAAAAGGAGGCAGAAAAGGAAATGCTCTAGGACAAGAATGTGCCAAGTGTGTGCCAGGACCGGCGAGTGGCAGGAGCAGTGCATGAGAAAGTCACAGTCCTAGGAGATGAGGTGAGAGGGGAGTGAGTAGAGTGGAAATACAGGGAGGTTCTGCAGGCTTCAGGGGGCAGAACTATAATTTTCACTGGCTGAGATCAGGAGCCAGTGTAAGATTCCGTGTTGCAAGGTGGTGCACTTTGACTTTTCACAGCTTCCCTTTGGCAGCTGAGTTGAGAACTGACTGGGGAAGGAGCACAGGCAAAAGGATGGTTCTGTTCAGTAGAATTGTCTAGTGGGAACTTTCATGTCTGTAAACAACTCTGTTGCCTCCTTTGCCGTACAATTTTTTTCCCTGTAAGACAAATTCCTTCTGGAGCAATCGTGGGTGTGTGTACATGGGTGTGGGTGTGTGCATAAGTTTCCTGGGAGCCTCATGGTTAGCGTGGAGCCCTGGTTTAACAGCTCTCACTCTTTTTCCTTTTCTCCCTTTTCTTTTCTATGTTCTTTATAAAGTTTGCCAGCCAGCCTCTGCTCCGCTTTGGCACTTCATCCTTTTCTGTTTATCTATATTGTCATTTTTTTGTGCCATTCATCTTCCAGTTTGCACTTGTGGCACGAGAGGGACGAGAGATACAAGGTGAGTGAAAGCAGCATACAGGGAGATGCACGGCCAGTCAGGGTTTTCATCACATATCTAGTACTCTTATTAAATAATCATTTAAAGTATAATTGTAATTTTCAGATTATAAAGTTATTGTACTTTAAGTTTATTTTTAATGAAAATCAAAATATTTAGATTAATAATGAAGACACAGTCATAATATGAAATATATTCAACATTAAATTACTTCCTTTGTGTTAAGGTTCTGTTCATATTCTTCCTGTTTTTATCTGTTGTATTTAATTTTATTGAACTGAGAGGTATAATAAACTAAGGATAAGTAATACTTGCTTTCATGATTACTGTATATATTTCCCCAGTTTCTTGTGCTGTATATAATACTATTTTTGGTACAAATATTTCAGTGTTCAAGTCTATTGTAGTCCTTTGCAAAATCTGCTATTATTTATTATTTTGTAGGTGTGTTGAGAATGATTTCATCTTAAAATATACAAGAACTTAAGTAGAATATCAGTAGAAACAAGAAAAAAGTGGGACAAGTGAAGCTGATATGAGTGCAAGAACCCAAGACTAGACCGAAGACAGTTGGATTTGAACACAATGATAACAGCATTTCAGTATGGGCGTCTCCTGATGCTCCCAGTGGTTAGTTTCTACCATTCTTCCTTCCCTCGCTCTCCTGAAATATCTGCCAAAACAAACGCCTTCTCTACCATTGTTTCAGGGATAAGCTGACTCAGTGGTATGACTGTGGGACAAAGTTCAAAGCCCAGAAAATAAATAATCTTACTAAAGAGTGAGAGCTGGCACATTGATTATAACCTGTGTGATATAAAATTTGAAGATACTAATCTCAGTCAGCTTAGAGCTGGCACTACCTGTAGGTGTTTCTATGTGCCCTGTTATAAGTGAATGCTCTATGTCCTTCTCCAATTATTCTTTAGCTTAGAAAAATTTCCCTTATCCAAGGTATTTCTTTGATACTCAGATTTTCATTATTTTTTTAAAAAGTTTTTCAGGACTAAGGTAATGAGCATCCCTAAACCATCATTTCATTCATATATGTAATCCAAAGAAACTCTTAAATACTTTTCTTTTTTATTTTATAAATTACCATTGTCAAAAGGGTGGGAGAGGAGGAAAGTGAGAAATGAAAATGTTACTCTGGCTGAAGAGGAAGGAGTGTGTTTATGAGGGCATGTGTATGTGTGTGAGGGAGTGGGTGTAATGTGCTTTGGTGTTGATTTGTTCAACTCCATATGAAGAGACATCTCAGTTTAGAGGGAAACATTTTGAACTTGGAATCACAAGAGCTAATTCTAGATTCTTTCTAGTGCTGCTTCTGTCACTAACTGTAAGAGCCTGGACAAATCATATAGCCTGTGTGTCTCAGTTTCTGCATTTGAATTCTAATTTGCATTTGCCTTCTGAATTTCTATAATGTTGTGATGCTCTAACACTATAACATACATCAAAGCAGTAGCATGATGAAGTGCATATATGTGCTTACGAGTTATTGAGTTACATCATTATTGTTCTCATTAGTTTATATTTGTGCCTAATTCTTGTCTCATCCCATGTTCTGCAACACTGTTTCTATCTTTTCCTAGTCTTTTGTGCTTCTCTGTAAACACTTCAGGTAAGTTACTATTCTAACATTTGCTCCATAATCTTAAGACTGTCTTAGGCTTCCAAGAAGAAAAATCGTGTGTAAAATTTCTACTAATGTGCTGGCCAGCTCGATATGAATCCTCTTTCACCCTACCTTTTACTTGTGATAAAGGCTCTCTGGCTCGGGTGCACTGAATGCGTGTCCAAATCAGAGCAATCACTCTATTGAAAATTTAAGTCACACTCATACTGAAAACCCAGAGTGGAATTCCTGAGAAAGATGTGCTTGGGGTCGGAGGAACTGTTGCCCCACTTCCAGACCAGGAGGTAACCACTCCTATGCCCATCAGGTACTGAGATTTATCCTGGATAATATAGGTACATTAATAACAAAAACAAATATTAAATGTGCAATTTCAATAAATTATGAGTTCTTGAAGTAAACCATACTGACGTCAGCTCAGATTCCATAACAAATGCCCACTATGCAAATAAAACAATATATAAATATATGTGACTACTTACTGTATTGACAATTTCTTCCCATGAATTCACCTGGGCACTCACAGGAATAGTTAGCAACATGGTCTGTACATATTCCACCATTTTTGCATGGCTCAGCTTCACATTCATTTATGTCTGTGGAAAAAAGAAAGAACATAGGAAGTGAGGTAAGGTGAAGAAAGGATTAGTTATGGAAGGTTTGGGGCATTACAAATAAAACAAAGTCTAAGTAATGCACTTACATTTTGTGTGTGTTAAGCTTGAGTCAGTAATACAAATGCTTCTTAAATTTATTAACAATCAAATTAAATCAAGTGCCAATGGAACTGAGGATCTAAATGAAAGACCCGCATAACTAAACCACTCTCCAATCAGAAAATAAATATGAATAGTGTGGAGAAATAGTCAGTGTATCCTTAGAATTAAATCAAACAAATTAACCCTGATAGAAGGATGAATTGGTATCACTTATAAGATCTAGAAACCTCCCCTGTAGCAACAACTGCCAATTAACACTGTCTCATTTCATCTTAATTCATTAAAATTCTAACTGACAGAGATGTTTTAGTTTCTAAATAGTTCTCCTTTGATGAATGCGATGAGAAACAAATTAGAGTTAAAAGCTAAAACTCATTACATGCAAAGTATAATAAATGTAAATGATGATCACTTCCTAATCTCATTCAAGGGTTTCTAAAGTTAGAATGACTACAGCGACTTACCCTTGATATACTGTTATTATACCTGATGCAAAATCATTGGAAATATAAAATGTTAGGCAAATTTTTTTTTTTAAAGATTTTATTTATTTATTTTTAGAGAGGGAAGGGAGGGGGAGAGAGAGAGAGAGAGAGAGATCAATGTGCGGTTGCTGGGGGTTATGGCCTGCAACCCAGCAATGTACCCTGGCTGGGAATCGAACCTGGGACACTTTGGTTGCCAGCCCACGCTCCATCCACTGAGCTACACCAGCCAGGGCTAAATGTTAGGCAAATTTTACAAATTTCTCTTCTGATTTTGGACAATGGAGATAGTGAGTGTGATTTTAAATAAAAAAGAAATAATAACAAATTCAGTCAAATATTAGTCACTAAAATTTGCAAATCATTCCCTCTCAGCACAGCCCCACACAGGGCTCTGCGGGAGCTAGTGAAGTGGTTGGAAGACACATGCCGCCGTTGCTTTCTCTTCCTGTCATCTACTCCAATAAACCCCCTCCAGCCTTGCTTCCCACGATTCTATTATTTTTTCAGCCTTCTTACAGACCTGAATGATGTTACTTAGGAATTGTCTATGCTCATGCCTTTCACCTTTCACCTAGTCAGATTGTGAGCTTTACCAATCCAGTGCCTGCCTCGCATTGGTCTTTGCATCTCTGCAAATGACTCACACTTCTGGTGAACACTAGTGCCCAATAAATCTTTCCTGATATTTCAAAAAAAAAAAAAAAAGACAACAAATAGTGGTGCAAGCTATATATATATTTTTTAATTTCAGATATGGAATGTGCCTTCTGATACACTACAATATGTCAAAAGGTATTTCTGAAGTCCTGGGTTTTCATAGTACTTAAAGCAATATATATGACAATTAAATTACCTCTCAAGAAAAAAACAAGGGCAAAATACTAGAAATATCTTAAATTTGCCCTATGTTTTATTCTTTCTTCTAAATAGTAGCTAACTTTCTTATATAATATTTAGCTCTTTTTAGTCATATCAAAATTTCAGTCAGTCTGCATTGGACTCACACAAAATATTTTCATTAAATTTTGAAAGAGGGACAAAAGTCACTGTGCTATTTATTTTTTTGCAAGCTCAGTGTGTCTCTTTATCATATCTACTAAGGTTTGTTTTCAAAGAGAAAATGTCAATGGTTGATAAGTCTTTAGGTCTTAGAGAGTGAACTGCCTAATTTTATAAGTTAGATATAAAAAGTTATTCTTTGATATACTGATACAAGAGAAACTGAGTATTGATGACTGAAGATCACATAAAAGAAATACAATATGATCTTGGAATTGAAGGAAAGGTTTAATTGGGATTAATATAGTCAGGATGAAGATGGGATGGATTTGCAAGCAGGAACTAAAGTGAGTCACAAATCTGAAGAGGGCAGTTCATGGGATGATGGTGTGTTCAGGTGTAGGAATAGCCCAGTTTGTCTGGAGAAGAGAATGGGAAGGGAAGTACTGGAGCCCACGTCTGAGGATGTAAATAGGGAGCACGTTATAAAGATACTTCAGTGCCAGTTGAGGGAACTTGCTTTTATCTTTTAGCATTGAAGGCCTGGAACTAGATGGGAGGGTGTTCTCTGAACCCATGAACTTTAGAATGCCCTAGTGAAACAGTAATGTGGGAAGGGCTCAAGAAATGAGCAAAGGGCGGCAGGATGGAGACCTGCACAAGACTTGATGTTAATAGGTACAACATATATTTTACTTCTCAGGTAAGATGCTCTAAGCATTTTCTCATTTTAATATTGAACTGCTTCACGAGTAAAATCAAAACCAGATCTTGCTACTTTGAAATGTTAATAGAAGGAAGTTTTCATAGTGCATGACATGAGAACAATTAAGTCTATGAAGGCAGCACTAATCAAGCTTCTGTCTATTCTTCAGGACAGATCCGTACTGATCAACAAAGGAAGTTATAATTAAGAACATCTGATTCTAAAAAGAAAAGAAAACAAACAAACAAATAAACAGCTACAATTTTACCCAGGCATTCATGTGAGGTAAGATAATCTGTAATTGCTTTGCTGAAGTGAAAATGCTTTAGAGCCATACTCAATTTGTGATGAAGACAGACCTTTATTGTTTGGGCACTTTTCAATTTTTTTCACCTTCAAAAGCTACCTTAAATCCAAATTCATAAAAACACAAATACTATATTGAGTTATGTTCTGTAATCTAGTAGCAAAATAATAAAACATTTCTACATATGTACATATCTAGTAACATGTAGGCTTAGGGAACAGATGCAAATCACATGGAAGTGGTTGTATATTAGTATAATGTAGAAATTCAGCAGTGAAGGCTATTTGCACTGTGATTAACACTGCAAGCAATCTAAGTGGAAACAGATCTCAATTTGAATAAATCATGTTTAATTAAAGACTAGATATAAATGTTCACAGAACATAATGTAATGAAATGAAAATTAAACATCTTTGTAATAAATCACATATACTTCTCTTTTTCATAGATCAAAGCATTATCATTTTAAGAAAAAAGTTCAAATCTAGTGCAAATATATTAGACTGCTAGGTTATTTTTTATGACTAAGAAGAATTTGGCACAGCAGTCCCAAATAAACCAGAAATATATACATTTGGCCATATTTTTAGTTTATTCAAAATAATAATAATAGCTATTACTTTTGAGGTCTTTGCTTCTCTGATTGCCTAATGACAACTGTTTAAAAAAAAACAACCTTATTGAAAATTGGATTTTATAATCGAGACACTCAGTTGAGTCTTGATTCCTCACTTTTGACCCATAAAAATTTTCTGCCCACTGTCTAGTCTAAGACATAGTATCAAGAGCTGAATCTGTATTTCCAGATGTAAACTCAAGAAACACCTTTTGTGGGGGCCAGTTAGGGAAAGAGTAGTGAAGGAAGAAGAAAACTTGGTAAAGAAATGCCAGAGAGGAAGAGAAGAGTAGACAGATGGTCACATCAGCATGAATTTCTTTGAACCAAAGAGGTACTCCAGGAGTATTGCCATGCCCTTTGCTCTGCTATAAACAAGCTACACGGATGTATTGATTGTATATGTATAAGTTAGACTTTTTATCTATACCATTCTCTTGCACTTAGCCCACTTGATGCACATTTGTAAAGATGTCTTAATAGTATACCCTCTTTGTCTAGAGTTTCTGCTAACAAATAATTGGTTAGATAATTACCATTTCTTTTTGTGTTGAGGATATTTAAGATCTACTTTCTTAGAAATATTCAACTCCATGACACAATATTATTAGCTATAATTACCATTCTGGGCATTAGATCCCCAAACTTGTTACTTTTATAACTGGAAGTTTATACACTTTGATCAGTATTTCCTCATTCCTTACTCCCTTACGGTAGCCATTATTCTACTCTCTCTTTCTCTGAGTTTGTCTTTTTTAGATTCTATGTGTGAGATCATTCTTTATCTTTCTCTGTAAGTTCACTTAGCATAATACCCTCCAGATCTATCCAAGCTGTCACAAATGGCAGGATTTCCTTTCTTCTTATGGCTGAATAATATTCCTGTGTGTGTACGTGTGTGTCACATCTTTTTTAGCCATTCGTCTACTGATGGACACTTATGTTGCTTCCATATCTTGTATATGCTATGTAAAACAGCCTGAACATTTCCCCACCCCAACATTAAATATAGCACTACCATGTGATCCAGAAATCCAGCTTCTGGGTATTAACACAAATAAATTGAAAAAATTATTCAATTTATTAATCTGAATAAATAAATTATAAAGATATTGGTTTAGAATATTTTGAATACTGACAACAATTTAGACAAGTATATCCAATCCTTCTTGAGACAGAAATCCATCTAACCTCCTCTTTAGTGGAGACAAAGACAGCTTAATTCAATCATAAACCTATTTCCCTTTCATCCTCAAGTATATCCAGGCCCCAGGAGAATTAAGTAGGAACAATTGATTCTCAGGCTCAGCAGCCTCATTTTTATACATTAAAAGGACACTATGCTTAAGCTTTTTATTTCCTTTGCAAAGAAATAATTTCTTGACTTCCTTATTCCTTTCCCTTGGGCTGTCTTTCCTCCCTGCAATATTGTTATTGACTGTTAATTAGCCAGCAAGAGCTTATTTTCAAGAGCCTGCTGTATTTGATCCTTAACAACACATCTTCCCTGGGCTCCCCATTAGCTATCAAACATTCTCCAGACCTCCTGTGATTGCCTTTTAAAATATGACCTTTTACATTTGTTCTTATTTAAGTCTATGGTTTTTTAATTTATCCCATATAAAAGTTGAACAAATTATGATGAGTCTCTAGAAATTCTGTTTTCCCACTCAGCTATAGAATTTACTTATGTCATAAACAGAATCACCTACAAGATTTCCCAGCCATTTCTGGGACCAGTTCAGTATATTTTTAAGCTTA